GTTCTCCACCTTAGAGCCTATAGTGCTGGCCCAAGTCTGACATATAAGCCTTCTGTGTGCTCCAACAGTTCCCTGTATTACAAGTACATAGAATATGACCAATGTGGACATGCTGTCCATCTGATTTGGGAGGGTTATATCATATGGTTACTGAATAGTAGATCTTTTCGTGAGTCTACTGCTTGTCCTAGTACATGGTTGTTGGCTAGATAACAATGGAAAACTATCCAGCATTTAGGTAGATGATGACAAAGTCTGGGTGCAAACATAAGCATATTGCATTCTTCTTGTTTTGTAATGTAGGGGTACTTACATAATTTTTTCTCAACTATGAGTGGTGCTCTCAATCTGCCCTACTGGCTTATGCTAACCTATTTCTAAATCCTTTGAGATTGAGCATATTACTCTTGCTTTTCTGTCTAGGTTCTGCTCAAGTACATCCTTGTTCCTTGTAAGCTCCTCCTTTCAGATCAGTATGCTGACATTCACAATCTATGTCAGGAAGAATGAAAAACCTATAGAAATTTTAAAGAAAAGCATTTTCTGAATGCTGACAAAAATTTACTAAAGTGTTTGCATATTTAAGAGTTTTCTATTAAAATACACCAATTAGAGATCATTCATTTAAAACTCTTTATGGCATCAGTAACTTTTTGGTGGATTTTTAAGGTGGCAACCAGTCCTTCTGCCCAAGTGCTACCCCCTTAAATATTATTCATATCACTAAATATTTTGGTAGAGAGAAAAAACAGTTGATTAATGGTTTACCTGCATTTTTCTCCTCTGTAATAATTTTATGCTGATCCCTCACCTACCCTCTATTAACTTCTCATAGTTCCTCATAGAGGGATGGGACCTTATGAGCCTTTCTCAATGAATGATGGAGTGGTGAAGCCCCAGTATTATATAGCTCTGCTTCAGGAAAACATGGCTGCATGGAATTCCTGAGTGCAGTCATTGTGTCCTCTCCTGAAGACCCAGTTTCCAGCAATACTCCCCCAACTCTGACTTTTACACCCTTTCTTGCTTCCTCTTCTACAGTAACACCTGAGCCTTGGGTGCTGCTGTGGTGGTTAATTTTTGCCAATTTGACACCAACCTAGACATAATGTGGGAAGAAGGAGGGAAATTTTCTGTCACATTTTCCTGTAGGCAAGTCATTGAAGACATTTTCTTGATTAATGATTGATGTGGAAGGTCCAGCTTACTGTGGGTAGCAGCAATCTGTACAGATGGTCCTCATTCCCATAAGAAAGCAGGCTGAGGAAGCCATAAGGAACAGGCCAATAAGCAGTGATCATCCTTGGCCTCTCTCTCTCTCTCTCTCTCTCTCTCTCTCTCTCTCTCTCTCTGTGTGTGTGTGTGTGTGTGTGTTTGTGTGTGTGTGAAAGACAAGGTAGATATGTGGAGGTCAGAGGACACCATCTGGGAGTTGGTTTAATTCTCCTATCATGAATTCCAGGAATGGAATTCAGGTTATCAGGCTTGTATGGAATATGTTCTTAGGTGCTGAGCCATATTCAGTGGCCCCTTTCCCATGTTTTCTTTCCATTAAAAAATAAAAACAGAAGTGTTTCTTATATTTCTCTCCCTCCCTAAATAAGTAAATGCTTGTAAAATGCTATCTAGTAAGGAAAACATAGGGCTGTGCATGCAGCTTGGGGTAGTGTGAGCTTGCCTCATCCATGGGTCCAGAAGAAATCATTATATATCCCCTGCTCTTTAATTTATTCTCATGTGTTGTATATAATCATATATAGGCCTATAGGGAATTTTCTTCAGAATTTAAGATTTCTTATAACTCAACACTAGAATGACAGCCCAGTGACACAGAGGGCAATAAATGGATCTGAAGAGAAATTTTGTTAGTATTCAGGCACACCCTCACACAGCACCTCACACCATCTGCCTGGCTGTATAGCAAATGGTATCCTGTCCCTTTAAGAGACCCTCCGTTCACTCTCAGTCTCTCTAGTGCTCTCCCTCCCTTCCTCCCTACCCCCTTTCCCCCTCTCTCTTTTTCTCTATCCCCCCTGAGGCAAGCAGGTCTCAGCCTCTTTTCCTTCACCCTCCTCCCTCTCTTTCTCTTTCTCTCTGTCCCTTCCTCCCATCCCTTCCTCCCCACTACACCTTCCCTTTTAATAAAACTTTGCACTCAATCTTCATCTACATGGCATATTTGTCTGTCCCTTACCAGCCGCGGGTTGAATCTCACCCACATGCCATGGGACCTGGAAAGATTTCCAAATGTCCCACTGGCACACTGGAAGATGTTCAACACCATCAGCCATCAAGTGTTGCAAATCAAATTTCAATGAGATGATACTTGATATCATTAAGATGGTGAAAATACAAAAAAATAAGTCAGTCCTGGTTTCACAGCTCTGCAATCCCAGCACTTGGTAGAGGAATGTGTGTGTGTGTGTGTGTGTGTGTGTGTGTGTTGTGTGTGTGTGTGTGTGTGTGTGGTGTCTATCATATATGAGTTTGAAGCTGGACAGCAAAATATGGTCTAAGAATTGAAAAGTACATGTTGCATGCTGAGGATATAAGTGACAGGGAAAGCACTTGTCTAGCATGCACAGGTACTGGGACATATGTGAGAGTGTAAACATACCAGAGAACAGGAACCTGCTACATTACTGCTGGTGCAACTACTAGCAACTGAGCATATATATATATATATATATATATATATATATATATATATATATATATATGAGATACCCCAATTACCTACTCATGGAAAGGGGTAGATAAAGGATACATTCTATAACATGAATAAATATCATAAACATTGAGTTGAAAGTTGTTGCGGGAGGTCCTCCCACTCCTCCAGCCTATAGCCGCTGAGATACCAGCCCATTGGGGCGTGGTCTCTCTCCCTTTAAAAAAGCGGCCACTTCCCTCTCCTTGCTCTCTTCACTTCCTGCTCCGCCAGCGACTAGTCTCCCTTCCTGCTTTAGTAGAGGGCTGTTGTCTGGGACGGTGATCTGTAAGTTTTTTCACCTTTAAATAAATACCACCCTATTAATCATAATTCCAAACTGGTGTGGCATCATTTGTGACTTACGCCTTCAGTTGGCACCCATGTAGTTACTTTCTCTCATGACTTGGCCAAGTTATTTATTATACAAGACCTAAGCTAGTTAGAATAGGATATTTGTACTTATTGTATATAATTTCATAGTAGGTTTAGAACTCTCTTATTTAAACAAAAGGAGGAGGTGTTGCGGGAGGTCCTCCCACTCCTCCAGCCTATAGCCGCTGAGATACCAGCCCGTTGGGGCGTGGTCTCTCTCCCTTTAAAAGAGCGGCCACTTCCCTCTCCTTTCTCTTTTCACTTCCTGCTCTGCTGGTGACTAGACTCCTTTCCTGGTTGCGTAGAGGGCTGTTGTCTGGGATGGTGATCTGTAAGTTTTTTCTCCTTTAAATAAATACCACCCTATTAATCATAATTCCAAAGTGGTATGGCATTGTTTGTGACTTACGCCTTCAGAAAGTAGCCAAAGGACTGAAGAATGGGACACTTCCTTATTAGATGATTTGATTTCTCTTTAATACCCAGAATGAGACACTTGAAACAGAAAGTTAGATTGGTAACCAATAGGTGGTGGGGGTCTGGAGAAATGAAGAGTAACTACTAATGAATAAAGGGTTTTTTCTCGAATGACAAAATTATTTTAAAAGTAAATAGAATAATGGTTGTGTTATTGTAAGAACATAGTAAAAAAATACCTACTGGGTTATATACTTTAAAAGAGTAAACTTACTACATAAATGTATTACTTCTCAGTATCTACAGATCACATTTCATGTCCATATATGTTTTGTCTGCATATATGTATGTTCACTGTGTGCATGTCTGGTGCCTGCAAAGAGATAAGAGGGTGTTGGATCCCCTAGATATAAATATCTGTGAGCTTCCTTCCATTTGGGTGTGGTTGTAGGTTGAAGGGTTTGTGCTGAGAGGTATTGAGGACTATTTTTCTCCTCCAGGGGCATGTAGAGTACCTTCCAGTACAGTGAACTGTGGTTAGTAGGTGAATAATGTAGTTAGACACCAGCTCAACGTCTCCATATTCAGTGACAGAAGTGTTCCCTCCAGAAACAAGACATTAACATCAGGTTGTGTGAGCAACCAAGAACCTTGGCAATAGCCTGTGCTATTTGGTGGTTTCCATGGGTCCCTTTGGTGAATGACTCAACAGGCTGTAACCTGTTCCTGGCACTGGAGGTGTAATTTGGTGGCACAAGATATCTAGTTGAAGTCTTCACTCCCCTGTTGTTTTTTGTCTCCCTGTGGGTTCCTTTCACATATGTGAAAGGAAGATTCTAGGATAGTCAGTCACCATATAGTTTTTCAAAGGACCTTTAGTATTGGTTGTCCCTCTCCATTTTCCTTCCTTTACTTTTCTGTCCCATCCCCCTTTCATTAAACCATCCAATTCTAGTTTTCCTTAATAGCTACATAACACTATAGACTTTTTTCTTTCCTTTCCTCTCCTCCCTCCTGGTCCCTTACTAGGTTCCATACCTCTGTGGGTATTCAGATTGAAGTTCCCATATCAGAACCATAACATCCTTAAAAGAGAAAACATACAATATTTGTCTACATGTACTGAGCACTGTATGCTTTTGTCGCTGGAGTCTGACATGGGCACGCACAGAACACAACCTTGGTGCACAGCTGCTGAGTACCATTGTGAGCTCATAGCGCATCACTATGCCCCTAGAACTGTGTTGCTAAGAGTGAATCAGAATTCAGCTCACACTGAACCAAGGATCTGCCCAAGCAGGACGCTTATTTGGTTCAGTGGGGAGTTTTTACCAGATTTTGAACATTTACTATTGGGTTTGTGAGGGTGGGGGTGGTTAAAGGGGAAGGAAGGGAGGGGTAGTAGGCCTGGGAGGGCCAGGAGGGCCAGGAGGGCTGGGAGGGGGGGGGGCGGAGTTGTCGGGAGGGCCAGGAGGGCCAGGAGGGCCTGTAGAGCCTTAACATGCAGGAGGATATGGAGTATGATGCCCTAACCATTCGGGCCCCTCAGCCGTCTCGCTGGTATACCCGCCTGTGGCCCGCATGCCTGGGTCATGGGTGCTTGAGTCGAAGACAGCAGCGATTTCCTTTGTACCTAATTGGGTACGATCCCGTGGGCCGATTACAAAGGGCGGCCAGTGTGGGTGATGTCAAATTAGTCGAGAGATTGATCAATGCCAGTGAACACCATGTTGACGAGTGCGACAGGAGGGGCAGGTAATGGGGCCTGAGGAGGGGTGAGGGGCAGGAGGGGCAGAAACTGTTGGGGACAGTCAGGGTCTACCAGGGAGAAACATACCTTCCAGATCTGCAGCCTGTGGGAGGGCAGATGTCATGCTTAAGGCTCTTCTTTCGTGGAGACCTCTGGGTTTGTACCTGCTTTAAGCTCCTAGGCACCTGAAACCTGCACACCTTGGAAGGGCAGCTCTGAGGCTTTCTTTAAGAGAAGCAAAACAAAGAACTTCAGTTAGTTTACAAATCCCTTTACATTGTCTCTTTTAGAGCACTTTATTGAGGGCTTTAAAGGAATTTAGCTAAGGAAACCACATACATCTTTTTATGTGTACACTTAAAATTTTTTGGTTTGAGTGTTTTGGCTGCATGTATTTTCAGTGTACCACACAAGCATAGGAAGAGGGTGCTGGATCTCCTGGAACTGGGGTCATGGACAGTTGTGATCTGCTGTGTGGGTGCTAGGAATCAAACCCATGTCCTCTGCAGGAAAAACTAGAGCTTGTAAATGCCAAGCCATCTCTCCAGCCCTTTAATGTATATGTTTTTAATGCTGTGTTATATGCAACACAGAAAATTGTATCTTAAGATAAATTTTCACATAAAAAGCCAACTCAAAGCCAAAAAAAAACCCAAAGAATTAACAAGAAATCTTATGTCTGTTTTATGCTTGCTGAGGGGATTTCATAAGGAAATTTTCAACTTGAACTATAACTCTGTCCCCCGGCCCCTTATATACATGTTGTGTGTGTTTTGGTACATACATGAAGGCTAACGGTTGACATTCTCTTTGAAAATTTCTTTTCATCTCATTAAAAAATCATATGTGTGTGTGCACCTGTGCCTCACACATGCCAACTAAATGTGTGAAGGTCAGAAGAGAACTATCGACAGCTGTGTTCTGCCATGTTGTGGATTCTGGGGATTGAGCGTAGGCCATTGGCTCTGCCAGTAGGTGCTCCCACCTGATGAACCACCCTGTGGTTCCTCCACCTCAGCTTTTTAGACAGATTCTCTCACCCAAATCCCCGCTGTGTTTGACTGATTGTCTTGGAGTATACTGACTGACCTAGACTTGCTGGCAAGATAGATTTGGGGATCCTCCTGTATCCACATCTCCAGCACCAGTTTCTCAAGGTGCTGGGGATTCTGAAGTTGGGGTCTCAGGCTTGCAGGGTGAGTGATTTTCCAACTGAGTTGTAACAATCACTGCATCCCTCTTTCCTAGTCCTTGTTTCCTGTTTCTCACTAGATTATAGGCAGGAAACAATGACCCTCAACAGTAGATTCTCCATAGCTCACATGCTTCTTGATCATGTCTGTAGTTGTGAGGTTATTTAGTCTATAGTTATTCAGTCTTCCAAATTAGAGCTTCATACAAATAATAGAACAGTAAATTATTGTTTCAAAGTATTTTTGCTTAATAAGTGTATTCTTTAAAAACACTGAATTTTCCAGCTGTATCTATCCATTCTGCCAATCCACTTATTCCCTGCATGTAACTTAGATATCTACTGTACAGCATACAAATCTACTAGCTCTCAAGACCCTCTCATTCTTAAGATATTACATTTCTCTCTCCAGTCAGCTTTACTGACGTTCTATAAATTTAAATATTGAAAACAATGAATGAGGCTCAATTGAATCCCTAGTAATTTTTGTCTTTAAACTTTTTGAAAATCAAAGCAAGGGAGCTATGATACCATGGGTTATCTCCTTCTGGATAGATTTAATAAGTTTTGGTGCTAATTCATGGAGGTATAAGGCAAAGCCATTTGCTACCACCTGGTGTCTATATTAACATGGACATTTTGTCTATTGACTGAGGACTATGCTGTGTCCCTGTTGGCAGCAAATATAGAAACATTAATTCTGGGCAAAGAGAAATGAAAAAAAAATTAAATTATTGATGACTGAAATTTTAGATTTTTTTGTTTGTTGTTATTGCTATTCTAAATAGTTTACATTTCATAGTCTTAAGAGCAGAAATTTACATAGATACATGTGACCTTTAGAAGTGTCATGGGCCTGTGGATTGTTTCATATTTCATTGGATGTCAGGCACAATGGACTGCATGGGGACCTTTTATTTTGTATGGTAGCAAAGTAAAAAACATTGCCAATTACAGTCATAAAATATCATGAATTTAAGTGGCAGACATCAGCGATGCTAAAGTGTGAAATAAAGAGTAAGGTGGGTGCAGTGGAATTGCCTGCATTCTTACCTACTGGGATGATTACCAAGTTCAAGGCCAGCTTAGGGAATATAGTTTTAAAATATTGTAAAGATACTTGAGTAAAAACTTTCACATTTGCAGTAGGTATAATTCTGCTATTTCTCTTCATTGAAATATTGTGTTTGTTACCATTAGGAACAAATTGTAATCGTATCCAGCAACACTGAGCTGTCAGGTGCTGGAAGCATTTGTACATGCTCTTGAAGATGTGAGTTGAAGCGTCACAGTGTAAGAGAGCTGCAGTGTTGAATCCCCATTCTACAGATGGAGAGATTGATTTGTGGAGCTCATAGGAGGTCTATGTTCTAACTAGTAACACTCGGTGATTAGAGTAGGATTCAAATCCAATCTGAGTTCAATCTACTGGGCATTCTCCTGTTATCCAGAGAGGCTGCTCTGAGGAAGGGTGAAGCTTGTGATAGAGCACTCGCCTTGAATGGGACAGCCATGCGCTATATGCCTAGCACAGAAAATGAACACCTGAGTAGAGAAATAAGTAAATAAGAAAATTTTAGTTTCTTCTTTTACATCAGAAGGAAATGCACATTGGTGTCTACTTGAGTGTGCCTTTACATAATAATCTGTAATTTCCTAAAATGTCCTCTCAATTTGTAGGAGTCCACTGCACTACGCCTCTGCCCAAAATCATCCTAATGTAGTAACATTGCTATCATCCAACGACTCTACCGATATTAATATGAAGGATGATGAAGGCTGCACTCCCCTAATTAAGGTAGCTATCGCAAAACACTTTTGGTATAAAATGGATTAGAAATTATCCTTGTTTGGTTTTTGTTGCTGTGATGAAACACTGGCCAAAACCATCTCAGGAAAGGAAAGGTTTATTGGCTTACAATTCCACATCACAGTCAGTCATGAAGGGAAACCAGGTCAGGAGTTCAATCAGGACCTGAGGCAGGAAATGAAGCAGAGGTCATGGGGGAATGATGCTTTCCCGTGGCTTTTTCCAAGGCTTGCTCAGATATCTTATACTACTCAGGATAACCTTCCCAGTCATGCCACCACCCCTAGGAAGCTGTGCCCTCCCAGATCAACCTCAATTAAGAAAATACTATACACGCTTCCCAGAGTCCAGTCTGGTGGAGCCAGTTCTTCAAGTGAGATTCTTTTTTTCCAGGTGTCTTCAACCTGTGTCAAGTTATCAAAACAAGCAAATGAACAAGCAACCTCCCCCACTACAAAAATGTCCAAACGGTGCTAGTGAAATGCTTTAATATCTAGGTGTGGTGGCACACCTCTGAAACTCTACCACTTAGAAAACTTTAGTGGAGAAGTTATAAATTTAGGAAAGTCTGGGTACTTGAGAGGGATAATATACATGACCTAAACAATTGGTCTGATCCAAGGGTAACTAGTCAATGGAATTGTTGGAATGCTTATTAAAGTTCTTGATTTCAGTGTCTCTTTCTTTATCCAATACCCACAGGCCGCCCAGCGGGACAATGTAGAATGCATCTCTATTCTACTCAGACACGGGGCTGATCCCCACATTGTAGATGCCAATGGCGATGCTGCCCTCCACCACGCCATTTGCAGAGGGAACATACCAGTTGTCAGCAAACTGCTGGAGTATAATGTAGATATTAAAGCCAAAACAGAGGTAAGAATCATTCAACTTCATTCACAATGTACTTCTAGCAATGACACTCAGATCTCTTTCCACATTCTGAAGCTTAAGCAGTCTCACTGAATCTGTTCAGAGTAAAGCACTTTTTCCAAATCTGTTTTTCATAGTTTTGTAGGTAACTTAAAGGAACTCAGCACAGCACATTTTGTTTTAGACTTGGGCTTTCCTTTAAAATTCAACAAGTAAAGAACTTGGGCCCACACATACTTCACATACACACAAACAATAGAAAAAAATAATTTTAAGATAAATGTCTGTAGAAAAAACATAAATCTGTTGCAATTAAGAAGTTACTGATGTGAATTGTCCCTCGGTGATGAGGCTAGTGTGGGAAGGTCACAGGCACACAGGTAAATGTGGAGATTTGATCATTGAAGAAAACATGCTGAGAAGACATTTTCACTTAACTTTTTCAGATTTTATATGTACGTAACAAAGGAGCCAAAATGGGACTCTATCTTAGACAAGGAGCAACTCCATTGTAATTAATGACCTAAGCCTGAATCCAAGATGTTCCCCAGTCAAGTTTAGCCTATTGGCTAAACAGTTCCAAACCTGGCCTTATAAGGCCGGGAGACCAGAGTTGCAGGATCTGGCTGCTACTGACCACATGTGACAGAAAAATCCCACAATGGATGAAACTGTTACTAATTCTGTCCAATCAACATGCCCCCCTTGTAACTGCTCCCTGACTGCCCAATTACTGAAAAGATATATAAAAGATTAAAAAGATAGAATTCCCCATGTCCACTTTAGAAGGGCCTGTATGTCTTTGTCCGTGGTCCTCATTATCAGTTTATATGGGTGATGGACTGTTGCATGTTGGCTATTTCTGAAGAATAAGCTCTCTTTGTGTTTACATACTATTTGAGCCTGCGGTCTTCCTCCAGCATCGTTTGGACCACTACAACAGGAAATGATGTTTGGTTTGGGAGAGAATTTTAAGGTTAGGGAAAGTAGTTTTGAAAAACAGGTAGAGAAACTGCTCCAGAGATGCCACTTGAGTTCACTCATTCAACAGAGGCATGCCAATTCTATCTCCATGTTTTAGGATTGGGGCAATGGAGGCACATCTCCATGGAGCTAAGAACCTGGGAACCAGCAAGCAGTTGTGGGAAGTTCTGGAAATACTGGTGTTCACGGGCATTGTTGGACAGGGAAAGATGTTTCAAAGGAAAAGGAAGCCTTGTGTGTGTGAATCTGCAGCAAGAGCTGACGGAAAATCTATCCTTTTGTGATTCATTTTGTTTTCAAAATCTGTGATACATTTTTCAATTGAGAAGCATGTCAATTTATAAAATGAAATTTTTCCTTTACAGTACGGGTTGACACCCTATAAACTCGCTTTGTTTGAAAATCAACTTAAAATGGCGGAGTTTTTAATTGAGAACGGTGCAGTTGCACCTTCGGAGCTTACACCAAATAGGTACTGTTTCTTTTTTACAATCTTAGTGCTGTTCTTGAGGGTGTCATTGCTTAAGTAATGAACACTAAAATGGTAGAGGGAAAATGGCTTTAACTCATAAGCATATATTGAGAAAGACTAGCTCACAGGGAGTGTGAGCTGGAAAAGAGACTGTTCCAACATAAACAAAGGAACAGTGTGTACCAGGGCTCAGCTTCCCATTTAAAAACAAGTTATCATTTCTAATCTGATTTGATTGGGAATTTTCTACTTGTTAAGGCAACTTCACATTAATGTTGTTTACTTTGAAAAGTGTCAAGTTTATTATCAACACTGAAATGTATAATATTATTATTTTTAGCCTGTTCCTTATATATTTTCTTCTTATATATGTTCAACATAAATATTTTTTTTGAAATCATGTTGTCTCTTTGATCATTCATTTTGCTTTAAGTAAATTTGAATAAGCAAATAGTTTAGGGTATCCATCAATTAGATGATATTACCAGATGCTATTATTTTCCCCTGTCCTGTCTGAACTATCTTGACACTGTGTTAGTCAGATGTGAATCTGTACACCCAAACTCCTGAAACAGCTAATCTGGATAGGGACACTTGTCCAAAATGAGTACAAAGAACTAAGACTCCATTGAGAAAATGCCTCCATAAGATCTGGTTGTAAGGCATTTTCTTAATTAGTGATTGATGGATAAGGGCCCAACACATCATGGGAGGTGCTGTTCCAGGGCTCATGGCCCTGAGTTCTATAAGAAAGCAGAATGAGCAAGCCAGTAAGCAGCTCTCTTCCATGGCCTCTGTAAGCTCCTCCCTCCAGCTTCCTTCCCTGTTTGAGTTCCTGCCCTATCTTCCTTTAATGATGGACTATGATGCAGACATATAAGCCAAATGAATCCTTTGGTCCCCAAGTTCATTTTGGTCATGGTGTTTTATCACAGAAATAGCAGCTCTAAAATGGACACTTGGTATTTAAGACGATTTCAGCATTAAGAATTAAATGATTACCTTTTTTGTTCATACATGAAAGTTTAAACTCAGATGAATTAAAAAGTAAAGCCTGTGTGTTGTGTATGTTTTTAATGAAAATACACTTTGGACATACCATATATTCTAAACAGGTTTAGCATCCCTCATCTTCATGTACTTGTTTTTGTGTCAGAGGACATGCATGCTCTGATATTCCCAACCAAGACACAGTACAACACTGTGTGATGGCTTTGTCTTCCATCTTTTTTGAGGCATTTTTTCTATTTTTATTTGGCACTTGGCCACTTACTCCAGGTAAGCAGGTTGGGAAGCCTCTTTGGTATCTTACTACCTCCACTTCCTTTGTACTATAAAAGTGCTGGGATTATAGATACATTACACAGTGTCTGACTTTTTGTTGAATTCCAGGTATTCAAATTCTTGGCTACTGTGACAATTATGTATACCCACTGAGCCATCTATCTGGCTGTAAAACACTCAATTTTTAAAAGAAGACTTTGGGTCTAAATTAAGAGGTGGCTATAAGTGTATTGCTATTAATTATGGAACTAAGGCTTCTGAGTGCAGAGCACTTTCAATTAAACCTCTAATCTAGTTAGAGGGCCTGTGTTTCCCTCTAAGAAGAACCATTTGAGGTCATTTATTCTTCCTTTAATACAAAATAGACAGAAATTTGTAACGCTGGTACTTTTGAAGCAAATAAAGTGTGCCTGTGACTTTGACAGGGAATAGCACAGTTTTAGGAATTCATGACTAGGAGCATGTCTCAGGAATAAAGTACTTATCACACAAACCCAAGATTTCAGGGTTCAACTCCTCAGAACACCTAAAGGGCCTCATGTGCTGTGTGCATCTTAATCTCAGGGAACCTTGAGGGACATGGGAGATGGAGAGAGGAGACTGTCTGGAAAGTTATACTTTAGATAGTCTTGCTTTTTACAGCTGTTAACAACAAGAAACTCTGCCTCAAAACTAAGTTAGGAGGCAAGGACTGCCAGTCAAGGATGTCCTCTGACCTAAAAAACATGCACTAGGATCAACAGACACAAATGCATACACAGATGTGAACAGGAATGCATATCAAATATGAAGATTAAAAAGTAAGTTTAGGTTGTTGATCTAGTAAGACTGGGGATCATTATCTGCTAAAAAGACATTGGAAATAGTGGTCAAGGTTGAATGTTTTCTTAGTTTTCTGGAGATCACTTCAGCAGCGGTGCTATTTTGGACTGGGTTCACACCGTAGGTGAAAAGTCCCCATGACAAGTTCCAAGACTGTGATGACAGCCAAAGCAGAAACTAGGAAAATAAAGCTGCTGGTCCAGAGTATCCTAGCAATAGGCCCTGAAGTATAGCAGTCTTAGCTGTGACTTGGGAAGAATATAGCTGACAAAAAGTGTTGCTTTCCTTGAGTATGGAAGCTGGTTGTGAGTTACAAAGACTCAGGATTACATAAAAAGGCTTATGAACAAAGAAACAGCCAGGCGGTGGTTTCAGCATTCACACATGAAAGAACTGTTAAAACAATTTGAGGGTACCACAACTGTCATGGCTTCTAAGAATGCAGGCAGAAGGATGCTTAGAAGCAAAAAAAAAATACTTTTTTCATATACTGAGCATTGAGAACATAGTAATCAACAAAATACTTCCAAAGAGTTCTGACAGATAGGACTGTGGGGCCTTAGGGACAAGCAGGCAGATGAGTGGAACAGGAACACTGACTCCATGAGCATATAAATACAAGGTGGCTGGAGCATTCAAAGCAAATCTATGGAAAAAGCACTGATATCATTCGTGTGTGTGTGCAAGAGAGAGAGAGAGTGTGTGTGTGTTTTAATCAAGAGATAAATTTTCTCTGTTTCTTCTCTATGAGGGAAGGTGGGAAGGACAGCAGTCATTAATCATCACCAACTGTTGAAGAATTAGTTTAGAGTTATTAGGCTGGGCCTTGTTGCCCATGCCTTTAATCCCAGAACTTGGAAAACAGGAGGCACACAGATCTCTTTGATTTCAAGACCAACATGATGCATATAGTGGCTTTAAAGTCAGCTGGACTGCATAATGAAATCCTACTTCAAAAAATTATTTGTAAATATATGATGTAAGATATATTAGGGACTCAAAAATAAAGAATTTAGAAAACATGCTAAGTATTTTTATATGAATAGTTAAATGCTGATCACTTTTAAACATATGTCACAGTGGAGGAGCAGCTGCAGTAGAATCAGAACAATCAATGAAAACCTGTGCCAACTCCAACGAAGGTAAGAATGACTCCAACTGCTCCTACCTTCCCTAAAGAAAATAAGGAAGAGTAAAGATTTTAGATCCCCAAAAAGGAGCTAAGGAAATCCAGTATAAATGCAGTTCTGTGGTTTTCAAATATTCTGAAAAGTCAGAATTAATTAAGAAATTATTTCAAAAAACTTTTAACTGTGAAAATATATTGTCAAAACATTGCTTGTTTTATATTAATGCTGATATCTGTACTGCCTTTGAATAAAGGAGAAATCAACTTTACACACATGTGTCCTCCATAGTCACATTGCAGCAAATAGGATTATTAGAAATACATATTCTCCTGAGTTTTATGACAAAAGTCTTGTATTTTGTGCTGCATAACAGTACACAGGTAGGTGTCACTAGAATGTAATTATGTCACAAACCAACCTCAGTAATCAATAACTTTCATTAAATAATTTCCTACCTTATGATATAATTAAAATCTTCTGAACCTCTTTAATGTCTGAGCAATTTCTCAATTTGGACAGTTTTGTCCTACTGTATAATTGTTTTCTTTAGAAATCTCCCATTTTGGGTGAAAACTTTGTTCCATAATGAATGTATTGAGTTTATGAAGACATATCAATCCTGACATGTTTTCCTTTTCTTTTTCTTTTCTTTCTTTCCTTCCTTTCTTCCTTCCTTTCTTCTCTTCTTTCCTTCCTTTGTGTTTTGGTTTGGTTTTCTGAAGAGCTAGACATTGAGCACAGGCTTTGGGAGCATTCTAGGCAAGCACCCTACCCATTATCCCTACTTTTCTCTTTAGTTTTTCTTATAAAACATGGTAAGGGTGAATATCATTTCCATGCTGCAAAGAATCATTCAGGAATAAATATTGGAACAAAAAGCAGAGTGTAGAAAATGACATCATTCTGTATTTCAAAGAGTTGTCTGCTTCTCCATTGAGTCTGGAGAGACTTTGTGGCAGTGGCAGGAGCACTACGTAGTATTTACTTTCATCAGCTGTCATCACAGTGTCTTTTATACCTTACGTTGTCAGTGGCAACCACACTAAGTAGAGAATGCAAAACCCTCTTCCCTCAAGAGGTAAGATGAAGAGAGTCAATATTAATGTAATGGAGACAGCTTTGTGTCACTGTATTATGAAGTTTGCTGTTCATGGCATTTGTGGTGGTGAGAACTGACTGAGGCCTACTGCATAATAAGCATAGGCTTTCCTACTGAGCCTCAATCCCATTCCACTAGTTGGTGGTTCAAATGACCTTCCTGAGTCATGAGGAATGCTTAAAAGCACATTAAGTTTCTCTGACTTTAATCAAGACAAAAAAATAAATGAAGGTTTCATTTCATTTTTGTTTTCTTATGTTTATTTTGGTTTTGTGAGACAGGGTATTGCTGTGTGTTGACTTTGAGCCTAACCTGAAATTCATTCTGTAGACAAGGCTAGGCTTGAAATTACAGAGATCTGCATGTCTCTGGTACAAGTGCTGGGATTAAAGGAGTGTACCATCACTGCCCAACTCAAATGTTTATTTCTAAAAGCAAGCTGCAAGTGTCTAGTGAAGGATTGAGTGAGTTTATTGTTTACATATGTAAGTATGTACAATGATCCTATGTCAGAAGGAAGCCCATGGAATTTGCTGCTGCAGTCTCACAGCTTCTTCTCCGCTACTCTCTCACCTGAGGTAAAGCTCGGGGTTATTACTACCAAGGGAGGGATCTTTCCAATAATTCTTTTCAGGGGAGATGATGCCTGTTTTCATGAGCATCCTTTAAGCTGCATATAAGTCTGGAACACAGATAAAACTAAGGAACTTCTTCCCTCAACAGGGATGAGGAGAGGAATCCTGTTGCACTCCCTTGAGCTGTTAGGTAAAAGTCTTTGCCCCTCTTCTCTTTCTTTCTGTTAGCTTATACCCTGATACAAAAGACAAAAGCCATACATGTAGTCCCAGTGGTAGCATTTTGTACCATAAAATGAACAATTTTAACTAAAAAGCTGAACAAGATTCTTTGTTTCCCTGAAGAACAAAAATGTGTATAGGCTCATGGATTTTTTTTTCCATTTGAATCTGTTGTTTTGTTTGTGAGACACCGTCTCATTGTTAGGTAGTTCTGGCTGTCTTGGGAATCACAGGGATCCACCTGCCTTTGCCATCCATGTGCTGGGATTAAAGTTGTGTGCCACCATCCAGACTCTAGAATTTTTCTCAAGTGTCATTATCCCAAAGTCAAACAAGAACCACAGAAGCTATTTTGTGACACAGTCAATTGATGCTTATACTGGTAAGGATGCTACTCTCCATCTGTCTGAGAGAGATCATTTAGGATCATCTCAATTGTTTATGGGTGGGTGTTTACCTTTAGGTATTATGCTTGTTAAATTTAAGTCTTCTTTTATTTGAAATATTAAGAAAATGAATGAATTCCCCATGAGGAAATTTCTTACAAAGGAGTATTTACTCTAGATTCATCTCAAAAAATTATAATATTTGTCTAATAATTTTATATGTTATATTTCTCTAGCATTGTAATGAATTAATTTTGATTTTTTAGAAGAAAATTTCAGCACTGATATAAAGCCTTCTTGCAGGTAAGGTCTAACAATATATAAAGACTAAGGAAATTCACAGATAACAAGCTAATTATTGGTTGTATTCTCAGATAGATACCGATTTATACACTCAATTTTTGTGTTGTCTTACAACCCCACAGTTTTTTCAATGTATTTTTAGACTGAAAATTTATTGTTTTCAGATCATGGGCGTGAGGTTTTTACTCAACCATCACTTCCCCTGTACCAATTCGGTGTTTTGGAAAATGAGCTTCCTAATGTTTACCACACACACTATGTCCATCTGATACTCCTTGCCTTTTCAAAACTTCCTGAAATCAGCTAGTGAACTAGATCTTCATTGCATTTGTCTTTCTGAAAGCTGAAAGAACTTGGGATCATTCTGCATTATCACATAGTGTTACAAGAAATCAACAAATTGTTTACCTTCTTTGACGCCATCTCCACATGCAGAGGCCCTTTTGTTCTGTGTAGCACCCTTTCATAGTTGGTAGAAGATCCCATGCCTTCCTCCTACCACAGTGCTCCATCCATCACTTTTCCATTCCTTTGAGCTGTTTTCTACACTAACGAAGTCTCTGGATCTCAGTAGATTATCTGGATGTAGAAAGCCAAACTGTGGCATGTTTACTCTTTATGTGTCTATAAAAGGGGCTTTGTCTTCCCCATCAGTAGGACATGAACATAGAGTAAAAGGCCCCTTCTCTTAGTGATCTGCTATCTCAGACACTGATTTGGCAGAAAATTAAAGGTGGTATGTCAAGCTTGTTCTGTGCTCATCTTAATTGATTACTTCCATAATAGAGGACAATTGTGTTATCATTTGTGGTAACATGTATCATAAAGAATTCGATACACATTAGTTAATTGCTTATTACTTATTATTTATTAATAAATTACTCCAAGTTAAAAGGTCCAAAATGCATCACAGTTAATATCCAAAGTGCAGATTCATAAATTACAGTAGCTACAACTGTTCAAAGACACACCTGTAAAAACTATGTTCTCTTCTACTAAGAGTTCTAAACTGTCTCAAGCTGAAATTATCCACTGAGTTTTATTGTTGTTTGTTCATATTTTTATCTCGTTAAGTAAATAGCAATGCTCATTTGGCATAGGAACAGGCAGATTGTAGTTTCAAGTCCACTCATGAATGGACTACTAAGGGACAGCCTGAGCATATCCTAGGCCATGGTATCTTGTCAGAGTGTTAGCAGAAGCAGGAATCTATTCTATGGTCCACAAACAAACCTTGTGAGAGATAGCATCACATGCATTGAGAGCCCACAAAGTAACCTGAGAGAGAGGGGTTCTGTGATGCTCTAGGAAGAGATGATGACAAGACAAGTGGACTTGGGGTACTAATTACATTGAGCACAAGAGTGACCATTAGTTACTACAGCATTAAAAAAGTTCTGTGGAGAAACTAGTGTCTTTCATCGTGTGTGTGTGTGTGTGTGTGTGTGTGTGTGTGTCTTTCTATGTTTTTAGTGGACTAAATTCTTTTTTCACATGAGAAAAAGTGTTAAGGAAATTGTCACCAAACCTAATCAACTGATTGAAGGACAAATTAATGGCTAATGGTAAATCTCTAATGTATTTAGGAAAACATTTGGTAAATTTTTTATATGAATATTAAAATATTACTTTTTAAAATATGCCACAGTGCAGTAAGACCAGCAAGACAGCTAAAATCCCTATTGAAGAAGTCTTTCCTGATTAAGAGAGGTAAGAGTAATGGTGAATACTTGACTACCAACTCCCTAATTTCAAAAACAGCTTGGTTTTTTCAAAATATGAACAGAGGAAATAATATAAAAATGTTATTCTATCTTCTTTTGATCTGCCTTCAAATGGGTTTGGATTCAGAATTATTTAAGAAGTAGTTTCTGAGAAATTGTCAGTCTCAAACTTTATCATCTGAAACATGTTTGTTTATTTAATGTGAGCCTCTGATGTACACGATATCTTTGTATAAATAAAAAGATCTCTAACTATTCCACAGTATGTGTCCTCTATGGTCATATAACCATAAGTTGGCTTGTTATAAATAGATTTTTTATTAAAACCACATTGTGTTTATGCTACATATTATTATATACATCAATGTCAATAAGATGATCATGTTAAAAAACAAAAAAAAGTATTCAATTATTTTAAGTTTTTTGAGAACTAAATGCTAATAAGTTTTTCTGGGTTTTGCTCCTATAATTTCTCAATTTAGACATATTAGACAATTCACATATGGTGTTATGTTTATCTTTAATTATCTGTTATTTAATCTGAATATATCTTGACAAAAATCTTGTCCTAAGAAATAATAGGCTTGCCCAAAATTTAAAGAAATAAATGGACTTTGAGTCCTGTAGGCAGTTCGGAGGATTGAACACTGCTCTTATAAACATTCTCCAGTAGCGCACGCCCTATTGACTATATTGCCAGCACATTTTTCCTTTGGTTTTATTAGTTAGTTTAAGATATGATGATACTTGGTTTATATGATGATAGACCTAATTTCCAGAGCAATTTGCCACAATAGGAGGAAGGCTGAGAAAGTGCATCATTCTACAGTCGACAGCACTGATTGGTGCATTGAGTATATGGTTTCTATCTAAAAAATTGTTCATTTCTTTTACATTTTCCAATATTGTGTAGTACAGGTTTTGTAGTATGACCTAATGATTCTCTGAATTTGCTCAATGTCTGTTGTTATGTCCTTTTCATTTCTGATTTTGTTAATTTGAATGATCTCTCTCCATCTTTTGATTAGTTTGGATAATGGTTTGTCAATCTTGATGATTTTGTTTCAAAGAACCAGCTCTTTGTGTCATTGATTCTTTGTATTGTTTTCTGTGTTTCTATTTTGTTGATTTCAGCCCTCTATTTGATTATTTCCTGTCTTCTACTCCTTCTGAGTCAGTTCTATTTTTTGGGGGGCGGGGGTGCAGTGTTGTATAGATATCTGTTAAGTCCATGTGATTCTTTACATCTGTTAGTTCTCTTATTTCTCTCTTAAGTTTCTGTCTGGTTGAACTGTCCATTAGATAGAGAGGAGTGTTGAAATCTCCTACTATTAGTATATGTGGTTTGATGTATGATTTAAGTTTCAGTAATGTTTCTTTTACTAAGAAACATTCTTTTAGTAAGATTTCTGTGGTGTTGTGGGTGTATTTAGCTTCCTTGGGTGGAAGTTTTCCTACTAGTACTTTCTGTAAGGCTGAGTTTTTGGATATGTACTGTTTAAATCTGCTTTTGTCATGGAGTATCTTGCTTTATCCATAGATGGTGAGTGAAAGCTTTGCTGAGTATAGTAGCCTGGGCTTGTATCCATAGTTTCTTAGTGTCTGCAACACATCTATCCAGGACCTTCTGGCTTTCATGGTTTCCATTGAGAAGTCAGGCATAATTCTGATGGGTTTGCCTTATATATTACTTGACCATTTTCCTTTGCACCTTTTAATATTCTTTCATTATTCTGTATGTTCTTTGTTTTGATTATTATATGGCTAGGGGATGCTATTCTTTTGATCCAGTCTATTTGGTGTTCTGTAAGCTTCTTGTGTCTTCATAGGGATATTCTTCTTTAGGTTGGGAAAGTTTTCTTCTATAATTTTGTTGAATATGTTTTTTTGTGCCTTTGATCTGGAGTTCTTATTCTTCTACTCCTATTATTCTTAGGGTTGGCCTTTACATGGTGGCTCAGATTTCCTGAATGTTTTGTGTTAAGAATTTGTTGGATTTAATGTTTTTTGACCAATGAGTATTTTCTTTATAGTATGTTCAGCACCTGAGATTCTTTCTTCTATCTCTTATATCCCATTGGTTATACTTGTCTCTGTAGCTCCTGTTCATTTACCCAGATTTTCAATATCCACAATTCCCTTGGTTTGTATTTTCTTTATTACATGTATTTCAGTCTTCAAGTCTTCAACTGTTTCTTTCACTTGTTTGATTGTTTTATCATGGGTATTTTTTGGGGTTTCTTTGAGGGATTTATTCATTTCTTCCAACTTTGTCTTCTCTTCAATTTCTTGAAGGGAGTTTTTCACTTCCTCTTTAAAGGTATTCATCATTTTCATAAAGTTATGTTCATAGTCGTTTTCTTCTACTTCTGGGTTAGAATGGTCAAGTCTTCCTTTTGTGTGTCTACTGGATTCTCATGTTACCATGCTGTGTTTTAGGATATTGGAGGAATTTTTGCATAGGCACCTACCATCTCTTCCTTCAAATGAGGCCAGCAGTGTCTTGGCATCTTGGTCCAATTTTTGCTGTGGCTGTCTCGTAGGTCTCCTCAGTATTGGAGCAAGCTGTGTTTCAGAATTCCATGGAGCTCACAGGCTCTTGGGGCCCCTCAGTGTTGAAACAAACTGTGTTTTAGGGTTCCACAGAGCTTGCAGGTGAACAGGCACCACCTTGGATTTTCATTTTGGTAAAGAGTGTTGATGGAGGTCTCTCACATGCTAAGCCTCATTGGCAGTCCATTTGTTGGTGGGACCAACACTCTGCTTCAGCCATAGGCAATGCCAAGAAAGTTATATTACAGTTTATATACTGTTAATAAAATAAACAAGAATTTGCTTTATTCCTTTTCAGAGGGTGGGCTTTTAGCATGCAGTGGGAGCTTGATACATTGTCTGTGGGAACTCTGATGTTTCCTGTAAGGTACTACTACCATGGAATTGCTGCTTGGTCCCCATGTTTTTCCATGCTTCTCCTCCTAGAGATACAGTTCAGGGTGCATAGCTACTGCAGGGGGCTTTGCAATAGCTCTTACCATGGGAGGTGATAGCTACTAATGCTGAACTTCTTTGCATTGCCCATTAGTGAAGGACCAGAAGCTAGAACTGAGGGGCTTCTGCAGCTTCCTCAGAAGCACTTGAGGAGAGTACATACCTTGACCCCTCTCTGGAGCTTTGCCAACCTGTCAGTTTGAAATTCTTTGCAGGGGCCATTGTCCTTGGTCTGCTTGTGCTTTTGTTTTGTTTTAATTTTGCTATGCTGCAAAGGGCAGTCACCAT